AAAGCTTTATTTAAGCCCTGCATGAGTTTGGTATACCTAACTTAGGATATCACTTATTCACATATTTAATATCGATTGTCTCAAAAACAAAGTTTTATTAATACATGTACTACATATTGAAAATGAATTAGTTTCAACAAATAATATGCCGCCAGAAGTTCATCTCAAAATCGGAAGTTAAGGTGTGGCCAATTGTTGAGGTAATCTGAACTTTCACTTGAGTAAGGAGTAACTTTACAATTAAAATACACCTTCCTTCAAAAACATATAGTATTACCAGACATCATCAAAGTAATATAGAATGAATTTTTCACCTCAGACGCCTCAGTCAAGTTCATCTCAAAGTCAGGTGTGTCTGAATACTTAAATAAAATCTAATATTTCAGTATAGGAGTCGGGTAACTTGAGATTTGAGAATAACACCCCCTCCCCCTCCAGTTAACATTATCTAATCCCTCACTGGAGAAGAAAAAACATGAGGATTAAAAATTATAACCCCCTCCTTCATAACATATCATATTTTCAGAAAATTCATCAAAATATTGAAAGACGACATTTTCACCTTTATGACACATATATGATAAATAACACATTTATATGTTTGATTAAGATACACTACTCTGTAAGATACCAGATCAATACTCAATGCACTTATATTTCCAACGTCAGACGGAGGAGTGGTCATAACTTCTGCTAATTTTATTATATTTATTTTGAGACATTTTATGATGAATAGGAAAATACGTTTTTTAATTGTCATGAAATGTTGGTACCAGAAGTAGGATAGTACCAGTGATCTTTAACAAAACTTTAAAGGTAGGGTAGTAAATGCTCATTAAGAAATTATTATGTATTTCATTATCTTAAAGAATATTTTGCTGATAATTATTGTAAGTTAATTTGTTTCAATTTTCTTTAACACTTAATTTTTATACTTTTCAATACATTTCGAAAATTTTATTATGTCAACTTTTTATTAGTGTAGAAAACCAGAATATTAAAATCACCCTCTGCAAATAATATACAGCATAATGTTATCACATATTGCTACATTAATTAAATAATGTTAACTGGAGCTTAAAGTATCAAACTATTTTGTATCAAGTTGTGCTCAGATGGTGCGAATCAACAGTTTTCAGCACACAAATGTCACAAATTATATCTGCTTCTTAAACATAACTTGTACATGTAGGCCCAAAATCATTAATAATAGTCTGTTTGGACATACAATTAAAAAATAAGGGGCAAATACTTTTACTCAAGCTGTTCAGTTGATGTCAGTGTGAACAATGAAATCATTTTCAAAATGAAAAAGTTGTTTATACAGACGTAACAAATTATTTATTCCTCAAGGATTTTTATCAAAATCATAATTTGTTTTATCTTACATCTACCTGAATACATTGCAGCAATGTGACAATTAATATTTATATATATAACAGGATGTTGCTTCAAAACTGTGAAAATTTTAATATAGAAATTGGATCAAAAGGAATATATGACATTGAATGTGTCATGTCTGCTGATCTTTTAATGTCTTTAATTAGCCAATTAATAATATGATTAAATCAATGCTCAATACACAGTAGTGATTAGTCCAGGAAGTTAATTAAATCAAGAGGTCAAAAGGACATCTGTGATACTAAAATGAGAATTATTAATCCTCCTAATTGGCAGATGACCATAATTTATTTCAATTAGTCTAAATATGGAACTTGCCAGACTTCAGACCTGTCAAAATCTAAAGAAATATGCATAAGATTAACTATCAAATTTCCTCAGATATTAAATCACGAATTTCCTTTGAAAAACTTCTGAACAGGAAAAGTCTTAGACCTCACAGCTTAAAGGGTCCAGCAACTAAGTGTGAGATACATGTATATCTTTATAAATAAATGGAGATATGGAGTATCTATATGCCAATGAGACAGCAACCCAATGACAAAAACAATTGTAACTCTCATCACTGAAAGTCCAATTTCTACAAAAAATCCATGAACTGAAAAATCTCCAACATGGCCAGGTATTGAAAAAAGCTTTACAAACAGTCACATGTACTGGTACTTTAAAGTAAAAATTCCAAAGCAATTTGAAACTTGATATCTGTGTTAATTATATATGTTCAAAAAACAGTTAATAAAAAGATCATATATGCATGTTCCATCTAATCTTAAATCTTTTATAATATCATCTTGTGCTATATTACATATTGATTGTAAAATAATGTGAACTTTTAACCTTTCCAGTGGTTTACAAATAAGTCTGTTATGATGAATAATGAAAATATTATGTCTTAAATCAATAGCCAGTGGAACTGTACATTTATGATTATTTTTTGTATCCACTCCATTATATATATAAGTACATTGACTATATATGTTTTAACAATGAATTTTGGTCCGAAAAAACTTAGGGCTTATATAAAGAGGTGAGATGTTTAGTTATCAGTACAGGGATTATTATGTGACTTACTTTGTTTCAATTGCATTTTTATGGTTGACACAAAACCAAAGCTATTGCAGCTTGCTTTTGAAAATAAATTTGGAGTGGAATATTGCTGTCTGCATACTTTGATATAATTATTAAGTGTAGTTTTACATGTAGCTGAGTTAAAATTTTTGTATTGGTGCTTAATTCAAATATGAATAAATTTAAATTTTTTTCTGAACTGATTTTTATTCTTCTGATAAAATAAAAGGAGAGAGGGGTTTACTTCTGTCACAGAGCGTAGTATTTACTCCACAATTTTAATTTGTTTCTCCCCAAGTCAGGAAACTTATAAAGGATTCACTGTTCTTGTTTTACATCAATTTTGAGTTTTTGATTCCGTGTTGATGGTAGGACATATACTGTCTCTGTTGATTTCATTCATAACTCAGCCAAAGATTGAGACCTTGACATTTAATGTTTTGGTAGTCATTGATGTTAGTCTAATTGGTATCTTATTTTTCCTTTTATTGTCAATTTGCGTTGGTTCAGGTTTGTTGCTTAATTGAAATAATGCCCACATCTTCAAGTTTCGATCTTGCTGAAATGAATAATATTCATCAAAAATTGTGTATTGCAAAATAAACTTTTCTCATATGATGCTAGTTTATAAGGATCTATTTTCTAATAAGGATTACAAATGATATAATTCTTCTAGTGATAGATTTTATACTGTTTCACTCTCTGTCTTTTATAAAGACAAATAGATTATATATCAGGGATTACATCTAAATCCATCAGACAGTCTGCTCCGAAATAAAATTACAAATGATTCTCCTTTAGTCATTAGTGTCAACGTTGATCTCTTGAGGATATCTGATCCTACCTACACTTAAACATTAGTTGTCTCTGAGAAACCTTACCAAGTATCGATGTCTGAATAAATCGTGTCAGGACTGAATTTTGACATTATTGTTACCATATACCATATAGAAATGTCTGCACAGCATTTTCAATATCATAGGGTGTCACATGACAATAATGTGACAATTGTCCCATGGGAATTCATATAATTGGAAGTAATACTGTTATGGAAATCATGGAGGATCATTTCTAGGATTCCGTTACAGAAATTCTGTATTTAATGTCAATGAAGCAAGATGTTCTGATGATAGGATTTCTTGCCTCAGGAAAATTCTGGTTAACTCGCTGATGTTACTGTATAGTTAACAGTTTGTAAAATATTGGAAAGACACAACAGCTCTATACCAATAAATTATTAATTCAATCTAAAGGAATCTTGTCTTATTCCTATTCTTTAACTTTAAGCTTGAACATAATATATAGACTGTTTAGTATACTATTCCCAGCTTTAAGCAGTAAAAGATTTTTTTTAATAATCATAGTTTTTCTTTTCACATATCACTCTACAAGCTTTTTTTGAGAAAATAAAAATATCTTTCCAATTAAAAATAAAATTCTGTCATATAACTATGGTATCTTGGAAGTTTAATTTGAGTGTTTACATTTGTAAACCTAAATGATGGCATACAGTAGTATAATAGTATACATTTACAGATTAGGAATACTTCAACAATATTAGTATTAAATCTTTATCCACTTCTTAGTTGAAGTATTTCATCCTCCTTAAATATTAAATAAGAGAACTTATTTCCGTTTCATTATGGGTTACAAACAGGCTGGCTACTTTGATTTTTCCTATCCTATAATTCTTTTATGTTTCACAAAGCAATGCATCTATCAACGAAAAGCATACATAACTTGCAGTCTTCAGGTCTTTTACATTACATAGAGAGTTTTAAGATGAGATACTGATGGCAGGCATCAGTTGATATGTCTGTTTCAATTTACATTATACAGTTATTTGATGTACATTTCTACAAACATTTACTACAAAAATATTCTGGCCATTCTCCCTATGTTATGATGAAAATGAATTAATAGATTTGTAGGTAAACAAAAAGTTAGTATTCTGATTTACCTATTTATTCATACTTGGCAGAACACAATTTTCTATTATTAAGTCTTATTAAGTGCTACACTGAATACTGATTTTGAAAATTACGTCCTATTTGACTAAGAATTTTCCGAAACCAGTATGGATATTTGCACTCTTGAAACATTGTTGCATTTAAAACATGATAAAACTTGCATCTCTTTGATTAAGTCTTATTTAACTGACATACTGACAATTGCTCAAATACTATGTTGATCAACATTGATGCCATATTTTTATTCAAATTATGAGAAAACAGTAATGTTTATAAAGTGTATGTAACACTTATTTGTACAAACAATAATTCATCTTAAATGCCAAAGAAATATGAAACAAACAAACCATTTCATTATTATGTCATTTATATGTGTTATTTTAAGAAGGAAATTGGTTTCCCCTCTGTCTTAGGAATTACAATTATGTTTTCCTTCTATTATTACAAAATCTGTTAGATCCCAGTTACATAACATTCAGATATATTACAACTTGAGTTAAATTAATTAGCTTGGATGAATAATGCAGAATTAATAAGATTTCCCCTTTTTTCTATTTTTAGCTACAGAAATGAATGTCAATATGAAGAAGACACTACTGGAATGATACTGTGGGAAAAAAAATCAATGTTCTTTCTTTTAATCAATACCTCAAGTTACAGTGGGAATGATGAAAAGATGGATTTTTTATTTCATTGATGACCAGCACGTGCAATGAGTCATTGTGGATTTCAAACTTTAAGCAGTATTGATAATAACAGAGAACTATAACATCAGATATTGCTAAGTTGTTGCTAATGACAAAGCAGCATTGATGAAGCATTATTAAGGAAATATCACTAGTGAACAGATGTGTGTGTCTAAAAGATGTAAAATTACAACATTCAACAACTGTTTTACAGCATCATTTCTCAGCAAGTGTTGGAATTAATTTCAAGTTGTCTGCCAAAATTACGGAAATTGATTTTTATTTCAAAATGCACCCCAATACTGGAATTATCTTTCATATTTTCATATTTTATATAGTTATTTCACTATCTTCTTGTGAAAAAAGATGTACACTTTCTTATGAAAATGAAATTCACATTGCAAACTGTAGTGGACTTGGATTATATCACATCCCGTTTGAACTTCATCATAATATAAAAATACTTGATCTCCGAAACAATGGTCTGAAAGTGATCGGTGCTAATGCTTTTGCTAAATATGATATGCTGACGCAACTATATCTGCAAAACAATTCACTACAAGAAATAAAAGCAAATGCTTTCGAACAACTCACTCAGCTGAAGCATTTGGATTTGTCAGTTAATCAGTTGAGGAGTGTGCCTACTTCAGCTTTTCCTGGACTTACGTCTCTCTTAGTGCTTAACCTTAAAGGGAATAAATTCAGCAATCTTCAAGATGATGCCTTTTCTGGATTGCCATCTTTGACAAGTTTATATCTTGATGGGAACTATATAGAATATGTCGGAAACAATGCTTTTGAAGGTTTGAGCTATTTACAAACATTGGAATTACAAAACAATAACTTGAAAACTTTAAGTGAAGAATCTGTGCAATTCTTTACAAAGCAATTCAAGTCTTTTAAACTTTATGATAATCCGTGGTTCTGTGATTGTCGAATCAGATGGCTGCAGCAATATTTACACAATTCATCTTATCATAGTCTAATTCATTGGATATTTCCTGAGGGTGAGCCACAGTGCAATGGACCACATTTAGTAAAAGACAAATCTTTTTCACAACTGGAGGAAAGTGACTTCGTTTGTGAAATCATAATGTATTCAAGTAATCAAGATCTCACTATAAAACCAAAAGAAAAAATTGAACTTTTCTGTAATTATTATGCTGACCCTTATTCATCACCAACATGGACAAAGAATGGGATGGAATTAACAAGTGATGGGCAATATGGTCAATACAGTATTGACACAAAGCAAGAGTCTATGATATATAGTACTCTGAAAATTTTAGATTTTAGTGCTAGTGATATGGGAGAATACAAGTGTTCTGTAGAAAATGCTAGGAGTTCTGGGAGTTTAAAATTCACACTATCCTTAGAAGGTCATAAATTTGACCCATCGTTAGTCAAACCTTCACCAATAGAGGAACAAAAAAGTTCTCGAAATGATCATACGATAAAGATTACCTTATCTGTAGTTGGTGGCTTTTTACTTCTTTTAGTTTTAATTGGAATGTTTATTTACATGTTACTAAGATTTCGTAGGAACCATCAACGAAAACTGGAAGAGCGAAGTCAAACATTCAAAGAACATCTTAAAACGAATGTTTTGAATCAATCGGATATTACCGAATCAGAAAAATATGACAAAAAACAACCAGTGAATGGGGATATTGAAATTATGGAATGTGAACCATTATATGCACAAGTCAGAAAAGACTTGAACCCTAATAATACTTATGTTTCATTCCAAGGAGAATTTAATGATCCTGAAGATAATGGTGGCTTTTCATCCTCCACCAATCAAACTAAAGGAAGTGATAGTTCTCAGTGCGAATCAACTTCTCCATTACTTGATGACTGCTCTCCCATACCATGTGAATCTCATGACCTACTTTATGACCCCTCACATGGTGCAGGATCATATTATCATACTCCACAACGAGCTCAAACTCTTAACTCACGATTCCTGCCATCGCTAAGTTCATATGATACATATGACACTTACTTATCATATAGTACGCCATATAGTACTCTATCACGCAATGGAAACAATATTCATGGCTCTCACAACGGGAGCTATTACCATGGAAATTACCCAATGAATGGGACACATACATTACCCATAAATAGTGCTAATAGAATTCCTCACAAAAGTGCTTCAACAAGTTATATAGGACCATTACCGCCAAAGAAACCACCAAGAGTGTTTCATTCACGAGACAGTATGTCACTATCACAAACGAGTAGTAGTGCTGGTAGTGAATCAACTCATACATCAAAGAAACTGTCGTTGCCAAAACCTGGTACAGTAGATTCATTTGGGACAGCAGTTTAATACTTTACACTTTTTGATTTAATAAGTACCGCAGAAAATTAGAACAATCGGTCGATACTTTTATTTGATTGGTTTGTAATATGTATTGGCCCAATAAAATAATCTACCACAATACAGTAGATTAACAAAAGTACTATCATGACAATTGTTTTCAGCTAAAACTTAGGACTCAGCTCAAAATTAAGTAGCCAGGGCTACTTGGTCCCTGTTAAATCTTTTCCCCTGAATATAAGACATAGAGGATCACCTCTGTTGTTCCAAAGACTGGAAGTCTTAATGCTGATCTTTTTTGGCATCAAAGTTATTAATCTTAAAAGAGTGATTATGTGTACTTATTAATTCATTCATTTATTCCTTTAAGATTTTTTAACTTATTTTAAATTTTTTTTTTCAGTGCATTTAATTGCTAGGACCAAATATTTCAACTTTTATAAGACATTGTTATTTTTATACATATGAGTCTGGTTTTTATAAAAAAAAAAAAAATAGACTGGATTTTGTGGGCATTTATTGTAATATTAAGTATGCCAGCTTTTCAATTAACATTCCAGCTTCTTCAAAAAATCATCAAATAAGCAAAATAAATCATAGCTTCATTTTTTTTATTGTGTGATCAATGCCTACTGTTCATAGCTTTTAAAACGCTTGTTGTCATTTTGGTGTAAGTCTTTCAAGTGCAATTTTTTGTGTATGTTTTGCTATCATCAAATTATTTTTATTGAAACATTCCATGTATACGGATTAACACTGAAAACAAACATTTTATTTTCTATCCTTTAAAAGTGTGATTTCATGCTGTAACAAACAAATTAAGGGTTAAAGGAAACAACTCTTTGTTTCAAATGGACAAATTGATAAAAGAGGCGATGGCTATAGTTTCTACTTTAGCACCCTTAAAGGGACAAAGTAATGATAAACGATTGCTTCGACACAACATTATGAACAAAAAACCTTTACTAAAGTATGTATATTTTTTAAGGAAAATGAATTCAAGCAAATTATAGGGCATTTTCAGCCATTTATAGAATCTAACATTCAAGTTTTGTTTTCAGTGTTAAACAGTTGTCAATATTGTATGAAAGTGAAAATCTCATTCAACTTAATCAGTATTTTTGTGTTCACATTGAATCATGTCAAGAAGACAAGAGAAGAATATATTTTTTCATCAATGTTGGTGTGTGAATAAAATTTTGGAACTTTACTTGTATTGCTTTTAAATATTAAAATAAGGAGATGTGGTATGATTGCTAATGAGACAACTATCCACTACATTTAAAATGATGTTGTAGTAAGCACTTAAAGGCCACTGTATGCACAAGTTCAACAGTGAGAAAAACTTGTACTGTAAAGTCGGCTATAAAAGGCTTAAGACATTCAAAGATGTGACTTTCATGGCTAAGATTCACGGTACTGTCAATTCAATTACATCATATATTTTCTTGCCTTTTCCAAGAAAAACATTGCAAATTACCATATTTTAAGTGATGACCCTTTACACAAGGGATCCAAGCGATATTTAGGTCCTTTACAATTTATACCATTCTTTGATTTGACATATTTCATTGTAGGAAAAAAGTGAAGGCATAAATGCTGACGCATTAGATTGCTTTTATTTTACAATATCAAAATTTGCATGTCTGAAAAACATTACTTATGACATTTGAAAAGTGTACTACAAATTGTTAACTCGAGCAAATATTAACTGCATGGGTCATATGAGTCTAACCATTGTTTTGTTAAAAAAAATTTAGACAAAGTATTCAAAACAAAATATTGTTCAAATTCTAAGTTACATGAAACTGAATCAGTTTAATCTGCTGCATGTTTGTATCTGTTGCATATGGTGTAGGCATCTCTGGGACAGCAACCTAACAACATAAAGTCACAAAAACACATCTAAAAGTCAACAATATTAACATCTTTTGTTCAATATTTCTTCAAGCATTCAATTACCATTCTAAGCAGTCAACACAATTTTAAAGTACACTTCAATCAATAATAATTAGGTACCATGTCAAGTTAAATTTGCAATTTAGTTTATTTATCAAATTAAATATAATTTCTCCAATTTGCAGATCTGTGTACTTTTGATAATAAAACCTAGCTTTTATTTTTTTATCTTCTTTTTATGGATATACATGTAATACAGCCATAAAATTACAGGAAGTTCAGTAAAATGACATTAAAAAAAATACAATAAAAACGGGAAATAAGAGCACAACTCTGGCCCCCCAAAAAAAGAAAGAGTATTTTGTGCTTAGCTAATTAGTAGGGGAAAACAAATATAGTGGGAGAGGTATGTGCTCAATGTTAATTTAGCTTAAAAAGTGCCATCAACCATGTCAACACTTAGGTAAACATGACATTTTTTAAACGCCTGTATTCTGGGGTTTTAAAAATCCTGAGTGTTAGAATGGAATTTTACAATTTTCAATAATCAGTGAATTAACCAAAAACCCTAAATGTACCTCATTCTTGTAAAAAGTTACTTTTTATTAATGACAAGAAGTGTTTCCATGTCTTGACATGATGTCAGACTACTCTCTGTATCCTGTGGCATATTATAAGAACTGAAATCATACAGTGTGATAACCTCAAAAATCTGAAAACAATACTTAAACTTTACTGATGTATCTTGATATTATATTGAAGACAAATGTGTCATATTAAAAAGTTCTTTGAAGACCTGTTAAAATCTTTCACCTTTTATTACATATTTTTATAAACCCCAAAGTGTTCAGATATATATATCATGTATATACACTGTGTTATAAAAGAAATAAAATGCTTCGCTGGGCGCAGCTTGATACGACCGCAGAGGTCGAACCCTGAACAGTTGGGGCAAGTATGGACACAACATTCAAGCTTGATACAGCTCTGAATTTGGATTGTGATTAAATATTTGACACAGCATAGGTTTCTGACACAGAAAGAATGTGGTCTAAGAACTTCAATTTTTTCAATTTACCTATTATGGTCCAATGTCCAAAATCAAAATACATGGTTAGATTCAGCATATCAAAGAACCCCATATATTCAATTTTTGTTGAAATCAAACAAAGTTTAATTTTGGACCCCAACTTGGACAAACTTGAAAACTGGTCCCATAATCAAAAATCTAAACACATGTTTAGATTCAGCATATCAAAGTACCCCAAGAATTCAATTTTTGTTAAAATCAAACTAAGTTTAATTTTGGACCCTTTGGACCTTAATGTAGACAAATTTAAAAAACGGGACCCTAAATTAAAAATCTAAAAACACAGTTAGATTTGGCATATCAAAGAACCCCAATAATTCAATTTTTGATGAAATCAAACAAAGTTTAATTTTGGACCCTTTTGACCTCAATATGAACCAATTTGATAGCGGGCCCACAAATAAAAAATCTAAATACATGGTAAGATTCAGCATATCAAAGAACCCCATATATTCAATTTTTGTTGAAATCAAACAAAGTTTAATTTTGGACCCCAATTTGGACCATCTTGAAAACTGGGCCAAAAATCTAAAATCTAAATACATGTTTAGATTCAGCATATCAAAGAACCCCATATATTCAATTTTTGTTGAAATCAAACAAAGTTTAATTTTGGACCCCAACTTGGACCAACTTGAAAACTGGGCCCATAATCAAAAATCTAAACACATGTTTAGATTCAGCATATCAAAGAACCCTAAGAATTCAATTTTTGTTAAAATCAAACTAAGTTTAATTTTGGACCCTTTGGACCTTAATGTAGACAAATTTAAAAAACGGGACCCAAAATTAAAAATCTAAATACACGGTTAGATTCGGCATATCAAAGAACCCCAATAATTCAATTTTTGATGAAATCAAACAAAGTTTAATTTTGGACCCTTTGGACCTCAATGTGGACCAATTTAAAAACGGGGCCCAAAATCCAAAAACTTAATACACGGTTAGATTCAGCATATTAAAGAACCCCAAGAATTCAAGAATAAAACCCCATTGAAATTGATCACAATACTGTGCAATTTAATATTTCTTGCTATTGCGCAATACTGTACAATTGACAATTTCTTGCTATTGCGCAATATTGTGCTATTGGATATTTCTTGCTATTGCGCAATACTGTTAAATTGAAGATTTCTTGCTATTGCGCAATACTGTGCAATTGAAGATTTCTTGCTATTGTGCAATACTGTGCAATTGAAAATTTCTTGCTATTGCACAATACTTATTATATAATAATTTACACATCCTGTTTGGTGTGTATCTCCTACCATATCATTATTATTTGCTTTTAAATATAAATCAGAAATAACCAACTTAAAATGGAAAATTTTAAAAGAAAAAAAAAAGGAAAAAAAGAAAAAAAAAAAAAAAAAAACCCCCCCCCCCCAAATTTTTTGAACCCCCTTATGATTCATCACCCCCAAACTCAATCCCAGCCTTCCCTTTGTGGTATGGTACCTTGCAGTACAATTTCAGAGAGATCCATACACTTGAACACAAGTTATTGTCTGGAAACTAGAAAAATGCTTATTTTTGGCCCCCAATTCCTAAACGTTTCGGGCAATTACCCCCAAACTCAATTCCAGCTTTCCCTTTGTGATATGGAACCTTGTAGTACAATTTCAGAAATATCCAAACACTTACACACAAGTTATTGTCATGAAACTAGAAAAATGCTTGTTTTTTGCCCCTTTTTTGGCCCCTAATTCCTAAAATTTTGAGGCAATTACCCCCAAAATCAATTACAGCCTTCCCTTTGTGATATGGAACCTTGTGGTACAATGTCAGAGAGATCCATACACTTACACACAAGTTATTGTCTGAAAGTTACAAAAATGCTTATTTTTGGCCCCTTTTTGGCCCCTAATTCCTTAACTGTTGGTACCATAACCCCCAAAATCAATCCCAACCTTCCTTTTGTGGTATTGACGTCATACCAATATACGACCAAAAATTTTTTAATTTTTGCGGTCGTATAAAAACAAGGAAACAATGATGTAAAACTTACATATATGTTAAATGGGACTTTTGTGCAGGTAACTCTAAGTAAGTCTTTTGATCTTAAGACAGAAATTTCATTCATATCTACAGCATGGGTATTTGTTTCAATTTAATATGTAATTTATCCAAGGAAATCACTCAAAATACAAGTCACACAAAATTTAATTAAGCCACACACAATATATAACGGACAAAGCTTCTTATCATACTTATATTAACTTCCAGGTACTAGTAGTAATGAAATGAATATATTTCTGACCCATAACATCAACATGAACTGTACAGTCTATTGCTTCCGTACTTATGATACCCAAACTATAAATATTAGGTATAGAGGAGGCTGATGTCAGTCCCGGAGAACAATGCAACTTTCAGACATATGTGGAAATTTATATGTGTTCAGTAAACAGAAAGTTGATGTGGGATAAATGTGAAAAACGCATTTTAAAGTATAGCATTCTAACATGAAGCTTGATACCAAATTTCAGGAAGCTCTGATTACTGGTAGTAGCTCCTGATAAAAAAACCATGAAAATTTGATACACGGAATTTATGGTTGGGACTTTTTGAGTCATTCTGTAAACAGGAAGTAGATAAGCATAGAATGTGAAAAAATGTATAACACAGTGTAAAGGTTCACATCACACAAAGCTTACATGCTACCAAATTTCATGAAGCTTTGATTTGTACATGTAGTTTATGAGAAAATAATAAGACAATATTTCATTGTATCTATAATGTACAGAAATAGGTTATAACCAGTATACCCTTTCCCAATAAGATATAGGATTGATTGATTGAGAATAGAGTTTAATTCCTCTTGGTACACATAACATCGATCAACCAACAATGGGAGATAACTCTAATTGTAACCTCGTTTAAGATTTTGATATTCATGAGTAAAAGGATTGCCTTAACATCAAATTGGGATTGCAACCCAACAAATAACATATTTTTGTAAGTTCACTCAAAAATTCAAGTTTCAATTATATCCAATACTCCATTATATCATAAAATCCTGTTCCTTCACAGAGTTGTTAGAATGAATTTAAGAAAACAGGTCTGATTTCAGGCAACCTTTCACTAGTCTAACTTACAAATCATCATTAGATGTGACTTATTACTTAAAAAGTCTGATCTTTGAGCACCATTTCACTATCCTTCTACAAATAAATCATCTTAAGAATGTGACTTACTGAGAAAAAATCAATCTAACAATT